GATCACAGGTCTTAAAATGAAGTATGTCTATCATTTATAAGTTAACTGTGTAGAAAAGTAATCACAAAAACTTATACTATTTGGTTTTCCAGACCCACTGGCATCGGCACTACAGAGAACCAGTTTATTCATTTGTGCCCCTCATTTCTATCTCTGTCTCTCCATTTGTGAACATTACTACTATGTTAGTCACCACGATTGCATAATCTTCCTCTGTTGGCAACATCTCTCTAGTCCTCTATGTGGTCCTCTTAAAAGGCATTTTTTTAGAGGACTAGTTCTGGCTTTTCTGTAACTGCTATTTACTCTTCCCCAGATAACAGAGTCCTAAACTGGCAACTGTCACATTATGCTTATAACCTACAAATTGCTATAATTATACAGACATATATACCTCTACCATTTTTAATAGAGGTATCACTATCATCTCACACCCTTGGTTTGAATCTGCAACTTCCCACACATCTCTAATCTTGTTTGCCTTATTCAGTAATACTCAGATTCTCTGGTCTATATACATAAAGCATAACCTGAGGGCTGTCTCTGATATTATCCATTTTTCTTCCAGTCAATCAGTGATGCTTATTTAATGCCAACTTTATAATGAATTGTGAGTTCATTTTCTCCGTCCCAACTCTATTTCTTGCAGTTTTGTTCAAACTGTCTAAAAACCATTTTATATAATTGTTCAGTGATTTCCTATGTCTTTTGAAATAAGAGAGAATATCCCTCTATGTGGAGTGGGCTCCCACATTCCATTCGTGTACTAGGGATAAATACTGATCCACTGCCAGTGGCCCCATAGATTAACCAGACCTCCAAACTGACATCCATGCTCAGGGGGTCTGGATCAGTTCTATGCTGGTTTCCCAGCTATCAGTCTGGGGTCCACGAGCAACCCCTTGTTCAGGTCAGCTGTTTCTTTGTGTTTCTCCAGCCTGGTCCTGACACTTTGCTCATCAGGCCTCCCTCTCTGCAATTGGATTCCAGAGTTCAGCTCAGTGTCTTAACTGTGGGGGTCTGCTTCTGCTTCCATCAGTTACTGGATGAAGTCTCTAGGATGGCATATTAGGTAGTTATCAATCTCACTATCAGAGAAGGGCATTTAAGGTATCCTCTCAACTATTGCTTAGATTGTTAGTTGGGGGTCAAACTTGTAGATCTCTGGAAAATTACGTAGTGCCAGAATTCTATTTAAACCTGTAATGGCTCCCTCTATTATGGTGTCTCTTTTCTTACTCTCCTCTATTCTTCCCCTGATTATATCTTCCTGCTTTCTCATGTCCTCCTCTCCCCTACCCTTCTCACCCTTCTCTTTCTTCTAGTTCCCTCTCTCATCCCCCATGGTCCTACTTATCTCAGGTGATCATGTCCCTTTCCCCTTCTCCAGGGGGACATGTATGTCTTTATTAGGGTCCTTCTTGTTTCCTAGCTTCTCTGGCATTGTGGATTGTAGGCTGGGACTCATTTGCTCTATGTCTAAAATCCATATATGAGTGAGTACATACCATATTTGTATTTTTGTGACTGTGTTACTTCACTCAACATGTTTTTTTCTAGTTCATCCATTTTCCTGAAAATTTTAAGATTCCATTTTTTTCTGCTGAGTATTACACCATTGTATGAATATGCCACACTTTCTCCACCCATTCTTCAGCTAAGGTGCATCTAGGTTGCTTCTAGGTTCTGGAGATTACAAATCATGCTGCTATGAACATGGTTGAACAGATGTCCTTGTTGTGTAAATGTGCATCTTTTGGCTATATGCTTAAGAGTGGAATTGCTAGATCTTGTGGTAGATAGAGTCCCATTTTCCTGAGGAACCTCCATACTGATTTCCAAAGTAGCTGTATGAGTTGACACCCACACCAGCAGTGGAATAGTGTTTCTCTTTCTCCACATCATCTTCAGCATATGCAGTCATTGGTGTTTTTGATTTTAGCCATTGTGACAGGAGTAAGATGGTATCTCAGAGTTGTTTTGATTTGTGTTTCCCTGGTGGCTAAGGATGTTGAGCAGTTTCTTAAGTGTCTTTCAGCCCTGTTATATTCCTTCATTGAGAATTCTCTATTTAGTGCTGTACCCCACTTTTTAATTGGATTAGTTGGTGGTTGGGTGACTAGCTTCTTGAATTCTTTGTATATATTGGAAATCAGCCCTCTGTCAGATGTGGGGGTGGTAAATATTTTTCCCCATTCTGTGGGCTATGGTTTTGTTTTGTTGACTGTGTCTGTTGCCTTACAGAAGCTTCTCAGTTTCAGGAGGTTCTATTTATTAATTGTCAATCTCAGTGTCTGTGCTACTGGTGCTATGTTCAGGAAGTGGTCTCCTGTGCCAATGCATTCAAGGGAACTTCCCAGTTTCTCTTCTAAGAGGTTCAGTATGGCTGAACTTATCGGGAAGTATTTGATCCATTTGAACTTAAATGTTGTTTATGGAGATAGGTATGGATCTACTTGCATTATTCTACATGTGTATAGAACTGTATGCAGTCTTCTACATCCAGTTATGCCAGCACCATTTGTTGAAGATGCTTTCTTTTTTGATTGTTAAATTTTAGCTTCTTTGTCAAAAATCAGATGTTTGTAGGTTTGTGGGTTAATATCAGGGTTTTCAATTTGATTCCATTGGTCTACTTGACTATTTTTTGCCAATACCAAGCTGTTTTCAGGCCTATAGCTGTATAATAGAACTTGAAGTCAAGGATGGTGATGCCTCTAGCCTTTCTTTTATTATTCAGGTTTGCTTTGGCTATCCTATGTCCTAAAACAAATTTGTATTTGGGGGGCTTGAATGTGTTTATTGTTGCTATTCATTAGCTTTTGGGGTTTTCTGTGGCTTTGTAGGCTGTCTTGGAACTAGCTCTTGTAGACCAGGCTGGTCTCGAACTCACAGAGATCCACCTGCCTCTGCCTCCCAAGTGCTGGGATTAAAGGCATGTGCCACCACTGCCCAGCTAATAATTATTATTTTAATTGAAATGACATGCAATGGCAGGAGAAGCTTTCAAAATAAATGAGATGACCAGTGATTACAAACTAAATATAGGTTTCATTTTCTTTGGTAATGTGTTGCTTTTAAGGAAATACATTGTTTTAATTTTTAACATCAATAGATGTAGCATGAATTTTGGAATGTATTATAACCCTTGTTTGAGGACGAGTTAAAAATTTTATAAAAACATGTAATACTAACATGTGTTATGAAGAAAATAAGCACACTAATCATTAAATGTCAGCATCCAGAGAGAATGGCTTGGAAGGGGTTGCAAAGTCATAAAATTGTTCATTGGAAGGGAAAGAGGGAGTGAATTCTTTGAGGCAATGGGTATTTACTTACTTTAATAAAGGTAGTGTCTCAGTATTAGTAAAAGTCCTCCCCTGCTCTTTTTGTCATCTGTATTAGCTATTATCCCTTTTCACTGGGACTGAATACCTAACTTCTACTTATGGTTTCAGTGGAATTTCATTCCATCCTAGTGGGAAGAAAAGCAGAAGAGCCAGGG